ACCTTCCTTAAGGGTGCTCTTAGTATCCCACATCTGCAGATGTCAGACTGAATATGTGTACATGTAACAATAAAGGTTCATTGTTCTGATTCAACATTAGAAATTTGCATGAAGAAGAAGAATCCCATACTGCCGGTAAACGATGATAGTGGAAACCACCGATAGAGAGAAATAGAGATGGTATGGATCATAGAGAGGATTCCAAGACTGCAGAAAGAGTCAAAGAAACTAAGCAACATCAAGACACCATAGCACTAGTTGGAGGTGACCAAACAAAGCAAGATTGTATAGCTGCTGTTCAGTCTTTTTTAGTTGATGACTCACAATAAATTGCATATATAAGAAACAGATGAATGAAGATACCAGTCTCTATCTTCAGAACTAAAATAATAATATAAGACGTGTGGTTTGGAGAGTACCTTCAGGATTCACAATATAGTTTTCCTTTTTGCTTTATTAAATTCGGATCAAAGAAGCTCTTTCCAGAACCTTCTCCAGCTTGGATGTTTAAATGTTTTCTTGCATTCTGTTGAAGCCCAGCAGCCGTCCTTTGTCAGAGCTTTGTCCAGGTGAGCTGCAGAGAATTGTGAACCAGAATGTTGTCACATCGGGTAATGTAGGTGTAGCAGGAGGACAGATGGTGGAAGTACCTGAGAAAGCTGATGTCCCATCCATCAGGTGACAGAAGTGTGTTGTGTGTGATGGTCCGTCATTTGGTTACATGCAAAGTGCTAAGATCTCAAGTTACTTCTGCTACAACTCTGAATGATACAAAACAAACATTATGGAAAAATGATTCTATTATCCTTAATGACTGGAAGCTCTTTTTTTTCGGCACGTGGCCCGAGACATTGGCCCGTTAAATTGAGAAGAGGTTTGTATAGTAATCCATATATAAGAGGATTATTTAAAGTTATCTTTGGGGGAAACAAAACCTTCTCTGGACTTATCCAGCCAACGATTGTAGCTGTTTAAGGGGAAGCAATGGAGATCTCTATTGAGCAATGAAATTTAAAGATGGAAGAGAAGCCTTCAAGCCTTAGTGTGTTCATCAAATACCATTCATAACCTCCACCCTGACCAAATCTTCTAGTGGATGTTTTATCTAATATATCCTCGATGTCCTCGCTCCTTCTGAATAGAGGTATTTGCACACTTAAATCCAAAGATTTTCAATGACTTGCTTATATTTTATCATATTTACTATATATTGAATCTAAATGTCCTATAATCCTCTGATACCACTTGCTGATTCTATGTCACGATCTGGGATCAGGCTCAGAGTCCAGTACCTGAAGCTGCAGGCAAATTCGTAGTATAACAGGCCGGGTTCGGTACACAAGCAGTGTAGTAGTGGAGGAGCAGGCAGAAGCGTAGCCAGCGAACAAGCCGAGGTCAGGAGCCAAAGGTATCAGGTGTGAAGAAGAAGACATAGAGCAGCCAAAGGTCGGTACACGGGTAGCAGTATGAGCAGATTGTAGCACAGAGGGAGCAGGAAGCAAGATAATGGCGGGAGCACAATCATCTGGCAAACAGGAAGTGCAGATGCGTGGCTTAAATAGGAAGTTCAAGGGAGGAGCAAGGAGTTCAGAGTTCAGCAGAAACTAGGTTTACCTGAGGATTACACATGAGATCAGGCAGGGAGCTATCCAAGGTTCTAAGGTGGCTCAGCAGGTAGAACCACCGCCAGCTACAGCAGAGGCCCTGGGTTCAGATCCAGTTCCTGACATCCTATTTCGCTTTCGCCCAACTGTGAGGCTAATCATATTTGCTTTGACAAACCTCAACGATTACATTGAATACCTGTGCACTAATGACAGTATGCTGACTTGTTGATCACAGACTTTGCCAAACATTTATATATACTGTAGATGGCCTGTCCCACCACATCTATCCCATCTCTTCTATAAATAAAACTGCCCAGGTTCTAAACATTACATAACTGGGTAAAAAGTAACAAAAGTCAGATATTCCCTACACCATTCTGTACATAGAGAGGACATGCTGAACGCATGTTCCCTGGTTGGAGATGTTCACTCGTACTCACCCAAATGCTCCGATACTTACTCCCAATACCAGAGCTTCCGGTCAGAGGGAGATTGCCACAAAGGAACATGGAACCGGCTTCCTGGCCAATCAGGAACCCCAGCGGTGGGTAATGACTCGCCTTCCTGATTGGCTAGGAAGGAGCTCCATGCTAGCGGTAGTACTGGTATCGATGAGTACCGAAAGATAAATACTCGTACTCGTACCCGATACTGAAAAACCGTAACGGTGCATCCCTAAAATCTACCCTTCCTCTTCTACATAGACCTCTTCATGAGGTCCAGCTGAAATCCTCATCATTCTATATATACGATGCTTTGAGCCTAAAGAGATAAACATGTTATAAATTAAATTTGTTCTGTTTAGAGCTTTTTTGAATGCGGAATCGTCGCTTAGCAGTGGGAGATGACTTGTAACAGAGACCTATACATTAGCTGCAGAGGAAGACCACACTCCAATCTCCTGAGATTGGAAGTCAGCTAAGATCTATCCGGAGGACTTGATTTGTTTTTTTATGTCAACCTCAAAGCACAAAAAGTTTCCCCATTGGAATCTATTGAACTGAATACAATTAACATGGCGGTCTCATTGTTGGGGGAAATTGATGGAGTTGGAGGATGTTACAGGCAAAAGGGACCCAACTGTTTCAACAGAGGAATCTTCATTCCTCATTACCTGTCCATGCTGTGCATATGACACAAAGTGTCAGGGAACAGAGCACCTCCAGGTGGCGCTGGAACCATGTCCTGCAGTTCCTGTGTTCACCTACAGGTGTCTCCAGGCAGCCAGGAGCTGTCGGGTACCAGACCACCACTGGGTGGTGCTGGAACCTGCAATTTCCGGTGCTCACCTGCTGGTGTCTTCCAGCTGTCGGCAATTGGTCTCCACCTTGTGCTGGCCTGGGAGGGTATTTAGCCTCTTCTCACAGTGAGGCTGGTGCCTCAGTATTGTCCCCATACCTGTATCCTGTTGCCTCCTTGAAACCTGACTCCTTCCCCTGAGGTCTCCTGATCACTAGCCCCATTATCGTCTATGTGTGATTTTGCTGTTTTCATCTAGGTTTGGCTATTTTATGTTACTTGTGGGTGTTGGTGGGGTTGCTTGTGTTTTCATGATTTTGGAGTGTCTAATAAACTATAAGTTCATAAGCATTGTCTGGTGTGGTCACGTATTTGGTCCTCCCGCATAGATACCTGCACACCCGTGCACGGTATCCTGACACAAAGGCTTCCGACATGCTGCATGTTTATAAGATTTTATTATATAACGAAGGAACACATGATTTTCATTTTACATTATTTTTGATATATGTTCTAAAGTATATACAGGGGTACAGGTAATATACAGGGGTACAGGTAATGTACAGGGTACAGGTAATATACAGGGGTACAGGTAATATACAGGGGTACAGGTAATATACAGGGGTACAGGTAATATACAGGGGTACTCCTAGAACGAGATCCTAATAGGTTGGACTTGATGGACTAATGTCTTTATTCAACCTCAAATACTATGTAACTATGTGAGTAGTAGCATTCAGAGCTGCACACAGTGAGGACACAGAGAGATATATACAACAGATACACAGTCACAATGAGAACCTTTCACAGCTTACAGCCTGAATGATTCTACGCGACATGCTTTGAAGTTCTTGTTATTGAATTTGAAATAACTTTTTACTTTCTAACATAAATAGTATAGTGAGGCAGCACAAAACACAACAATCATATTTAACGTGCTGTAACCCATAGAGAACATAACTAACAGATAACTAAAATTGGATACCTATCCCCACATCACACCACACCAACGTCACAACATAACTTCTTTAGGTAATGACACATTGTCTACATATTTTGCTTTTCAGTTTAGGATTTCCATGGATCAAAATGAGACTTTGAGCAGTTGGGTGCATCATGATGATTGTCCAGGAACCACATACAAAAAAAACATGAATTTTAAATGAAGTCAATAAACCTACAATAGTTAAAAGATACATTGCCATATCCAGTACTACCCTCATAGTCATTATCCTGGCGGCTCGTACGTGGCCCTGGAGCTGAGACGACGATAGGTGAGATTCACTGAGCTTTATCCTCCAGACGTGTCTCAGCAGTGATGTGACACACTGACCGATGCAGAGACAAGTCAAAGTGGAAGGAAGGAAGAATCCAAAGAACGAGTTTATCATTGCACATTTAAAATTTACGATAACATTATGAGTTCCGTTTTGTATAAGATTGATTTCTGTTAGCCAGTAAAATGGAAAACTAATGATGATTGAGCCCAGAGCTGACCCCACTAGGAGCTGAGGAACAGAAGACAGGAACATGGTTTTCATCCTCAGAAGATAAGGGTGGGACAAGTTCACCAATCGAACATAGAAGAATATGGAGAGCCAAGCGGTGTTCCAGGCACTCACATAGAACAAAGTGAACTGTAGGGTCAGCATTAATAGAAGTAGGTTCCTACTAATGTTGAAGAACATCGCAAGGGGGTTCAGCATACCACTGACAGACATGCAGCCCTGCAGGAGAACATTCGTCACGGCTATGAACATTTGGATTTGATCGCAGACAACAGATTTGCTGCTTTTTTTCCATTGTAACAAATAAAAAGTAAGAAGTAAAGAATTCATCATCGTCCCGGACAGACCCGTGATCACCGTAATGACCAATCTGAACATTCCCAGAGCTGTGAACATTTTCAATCAAAGAAGTTGTTTGTTGGATTCTCCTTCTGCAGAGATAAGCCGGATAACATAAAAGTAAAGATATATACAGTGATAAGAGAAGAGATTCAGAGAAGACGTAATATGGAAACGATGGAATATGGAAATCTGTCCAGTATCTGGTTGCTGGTTTGATGGGAAGAGAACATATCATCAGGTTTCATAGCAAATCATTCGCTTCATACGATCCTTGTTTGGTTTGGCTCGGTGAGCTGAGGAACATATTCAACAGAAATAAACCACTTCTATGAAGAAATATATTTAGTACTGATTTGCTTATTGTAGCCTCTGCCTTGTGTCTACGATGACAACAAACATGGAGGTCTATTAAGGTCAATCAATATACACCCTTGTTGGTTGGCATTTAGTTATTTCTGTGCACCGTGTGTCGTGGACTATTGCCATTTGTAAATAAATGACTTGTTTTCCCCTTTTTACCATCCTTTGTTCCATCTCAGTGCTGCTCATTTCCTGCAGCCTCCAGTGAGCACACTTATATTCTACACAAGTGCTGGACAAAGGTTCCATACATCATCCTTCCATGGCTGCCCACAACCTCCCACGGTGTGAGGACTTACCTGTTACCTCCCGCAGGGCCTCGCGCCATCAGGGGGGTCTCCTTGTGCAGTGCAGAGCCCAACGGCTGCTGTGTGTAGTGTCCGCTTGTTCCATAGTCCAGAGCTGTACAGGAAGAGGCACGCACGAGCACTGGACCGCCTCTTAAAGGAACAGTGCACGCCCCACCAAGGAAGTGGTCCGCCCCTGGAAATGACATCATCTCATTGCCAACAGGTATATAAGAAGGAAGGGTGAGTCATTCTGTGCTTGGTTTATGTTAAGCTTGTTCTTAGAGTGCCTGGCGTTATACCTGTTTCTGATCCCTATTACCGACCCCTCGCCTGTTCCCGTGACCCTGATACTTTGATGCCTGACCCCGACCTCTGCTACGTTCAACGACTACGATTCTGGATTGTGATTTTGCTACCATGCTCTTGGACTGCCCCTGTACTGGCTACCACTACGCAGGAGATTGTGCGTTTTCCAAGTCTACTTGAGTAGAGGTACCGATCGTACTGGCAAGTCCCCTGTGTCTGGGCTCCTACCATCACCAACCTGACACACGGCTTACAATACCATCTCTATACTGATGACACCCAACCCAAGTCTACTCCTCTGCTCACCCCTCCAGTCTCCTCACATATCTGCCCTCTAGCTCCTTCAGCCCCTCCTTCTATTCTCTCCTCCGAGACTTCTCAAGAATGTATGCCGTCCCCTGGAACCCCCTACCCCAAATCTGTCCTGCTTTCTCCTACTCTGATTTTAGGCGATCCCTGAAAACTTACCTCTTCTGGAAAGCCTAACCCACCTCTACCTAATAACTGAACTTTTACTCTCCGTCCCCCCTTATTAACTTTTATATTACTTGCTCCTTCCTTTTAGATTGTGAGCTCTCAGGATCAGGGCCCTCCTGACCATCTTTTATTACGTTGTATTGTAACTCTACTGTCTACCTGTATATTGTAAAGTATTGCTCAGACTGTTAGCAAACCTGTCTAGTAATAATAATACTACTTATAATGAGGTTATTGTGTTTTTGTCATGCCATAATGTTCTTTGTACAGGCATTCCCAGCCATTCAGCATCAAGCCAGCTTCCCGGTCAATCAGGAACCTGGGAGGTGAGTCATTACCCACCGCCCAGATTCCTGATTGGCTGGGAAGCCAGCTCCATGTTCCCTCGCAGCACTGCCAGTCAGAAGAAATCTCCTTCTGACTGGAAGTTCTGGTATTGGGAATAAGTACCGGATCATTTGGGTGAGTACGAGTACTCGCCCAAACACTCGGTATCGGCACCGATACCAATACTAGTAACGGTGCATCCCTAGCCATATATGTACATGTTGCAGCCATATGTGCTGATTGCATGTGCTTTGCAGTGATACACAATGGCTGTGCTTTACTGTGCCTTCCCGCTATATTAGGAATGGAAGAACTCATTAAAGTAATACACTTAATGTGTGGCTGATATCTTCCAGGTGTTAAAAAAGAAGAAGAGTCATTGCGCCCACCTCCTGATATGTCCCTAGAGCCTTATAGCTGTATATCTGCGCTATGAGATCATCTAAGGCACTGCTGCCTCTGTTAGTCTCGCCAGATCTGGAGTGAGATTCGGTGATGTCACTGCTGTGCTGATCGCTGTTCTCCTTGCTGGAGAGGAAGCTGTACCTGAGGAGCTGCAGTGGAAGGATCTCCCTGCTTCTGTTGCATTCATTCTGTGAATCTGTTCTTCCTCCACCTCTATCATTACCCCACCAGTCACCAGATTACCAGTCATGGGGGGGGGGGGGCTTGGAATTGGGGAGCAAAGCCCAAGGGCGTGGGGGGGGGGGGGGCTCTGACATGAGGAAGCAAAGCCCTGCTCCTCTACCAAAAACAACAAATATGCAAATATTCAGCTAAAGTATTTTGGGGAGTTATAGAGCACCCCCTTCTTCGTGGCTGTGGAGAAATTAATAGATATTCAGATTGGTCCTTCATTTGGATGGCTGGATACTGTAGATCAGGGTGTGTGGTCAGGGGAGGCAGGTGGGGCAGAGCCTCACCTAGAATTATGGAGGAAAAAGCTGTCAGCTTCATGTCTGAAGCTGGCAGCTTTTTCTCCATTTAGATCGGCATCTAACAGGTTACACAGCAGGGAAATCCTCCGCCGTGTAACCTATGACAGCACTGCCGGTCAGAAGAAATCTCCCTCTGAGTGCCTCAGCAGTGAGGAGCAAGTGAGGGACAGGGAGGCTCCTCCCTGTCTCCTCCCTTCCTCCTTTACACTAGCTTGGGGATGGGTTTGGGGCGGGGCTTTGTCTGATGGGGGCAGGGCTGGGGAATGCCTCACCCAGAGCAAGAGGTACCGCACGTCACTGCTGTAGATCTATGTGCTTCCAAAGGCAAAATATAAGCAGATTAAACTTCAGCTTTAAAGTCCTGGAGGAATAACAAGAACCCGTGGCCAGTCTACAGACAAGCAGGTATCTCCATACACTTAACACACAGTTAATGAGTTTTAAAAACTGAATTCCACTTTTGCAGTCAAATTTGAAAAAGTCCTCTATGTGTTTGTTATGTGTTCTCATTCACACAGCATACCCAAAGTAGTTCTTCAAAACATGTTTTACCTTTTAGATGTGCCTTTGGTGAAGGCCTTTGTGCAGGTTCCAGGCCACTCAGAGCAGTTTGAAATTAAAAGCAGAGGGATATAGCCCTGACCGTCCCTACCTTTTTCGCTGCCTGAGGCGTCCAGGAGATGGGGGCTGAGCTGTCAGCTGGGCAGGAGGCGATGGGCGGCGAGCAGGAGATGACAGATGGCTGAGTTGCCAGTGGGGCGCTGTACAAACTGCCTCATTACGGGGACGCCCCTAGACAGAGGGTCGGACTGAGCTTCCTATCATTCACACGCAATGCTTCCAAGCGTTTACCCCTTTTTTAGGACTGACAATGTTCAAACCTAGTTTACAGCTAATAATGAGATCTGCCAGGACAGCACAGACAGGGTTAATTGAACATGACTTCCCCAGCCCTTCCTTAAAGGAGAACTAGGAGGTGAGTGATTTGCGCTCATAGTTCGAGCCGACGTGCGACAATGAAACTGTCACACGTCGGCTCAATAGATTGGGAAGTGACCGAAAACATACCGTCGCTCGCTCACTTCTCGATGTCCCTGCAGAGAGCCGTGACTGTCACTCATGGCTCCCTGCAGGGATTCCCTCCCCCCCACAGAGCCAGCTGTCAATCGTGCAGCTGGGTGGATTTCTTATTACCTGTCCGTGAACTGACCGTATGGAACAAGTCAGGCTGACAACACAAAGAGCTGGACACTCAATATGTTCTTCAGACTTTAATTGGAGAAGGAACATGTGATTTTTCGTAATGTATCATTATTATTATTATTATTTTTTTTCAGAGATGCACAAAGTCAGGACACACAGAGGATACAACAATAATATAATAATTCAGAATAAAAGTCACATCAAGCACTAGGACTGAGAGTCCTTCCACAATGGGTCTACCATGTCACCATCTGACCTAATCAGTAAAAGCCGTACAAAGATGAAGTCCAGTAAGCTGAAACAACTACAACTGATCCAAGCACTGCCAACTAAAAGCTGTGCACTTTACTTTAAGGGGGATCATTTCTTTTTTCATCAGTTTTAATGAATTAATCCTGTTGGTATAAATGTTTAATTACTTTCCAAAATATCCCTTAAACAACAAAAACTCAACGTTTCCTTAAAGTCAGACTCCAGCCAAAACCCTAGAGTATTGTTTTTGTTGGATACAGTAGGAAATTGTTATAGCACAAAGACACCCATCTTGGAAATATGGGAACATTTCCCTGTAATAGACAATGGCATTACCTATATATATATCAGTGGCGTAACATTCGCCATAGCGACCCAGGCGGCCGCTATGGGGCCCGGGCACAGGGGGGCACGGCCAGGCATCCCCATGATGCCGTGTGGGCCGCCTGGGTGGCTATGGCGTCTCGGGTGCTGGCTGTCACTGACACAGCTCAGCAGCAGCTGTGAAGGAAAACGTTCCCCCTCACAGCCGCTGAGGAGCTGTGTCAGTGACAGCCAGCAGATGC